GGTCATTAGAGTATTAGTATGTCTGCTACTGTAAATATTTGCTAACACTTTATTTTGATGGTCAACCAACAGATAAACTGACTATAAGTGTCTTTGCAAGTACGTCAACTTATTCTACCATACTAGATTCTACCATTCTTGAGCATACTAATACTCTAATGAGAGTTAGTTGGCATGTAGTTGCAAAGTTGCTTATAGTCGACTGATTAAGGGGACCATCAAAATAAAATGTAACCATATAAAACATTGCATTTTTTTCAGTTGGAGTATAAAGCTCACATCAATTAATTAACATTAGCACTACAGAAAACACTCAAATAACACTCAACATCTAACCACTCACAAGCTGTAGTAAGATACTGTGCGGATCTTAAATAAACAATGTCAAGATATGATACAGTCCATTATTCTGTAAATGAAGTAGATTTAATATGGTGTTCATTGTGTGTTATAAATAATACTCTTAAACTTACAACCACAAGTACGTAAGTATTATGATGTATTATAACTGTTGTTATGATTATTCATGAGTTGATATAACATATTATAATTTTTTTTATAATGCATTATGCATTCATTATAATGCCTTAAGAATACCCTTATAATGAATTATAAATACGGGCTTCATAGAAAGTGTTACCAAACTTTCTTCACAGAAAAGTTCAGCATTTTTGTTGCATTGGCAGACATTACTGTTAAAATGGAAATGTGACCATATCTGTGTTTCTTGCAAATTACTGCTGTTCTCAATTAAAATTAAGAGCTGTCCGAATTATTAATGTAAAATTAGATATTTTTCTGTATGCATTTTCTTACTTTTATGTTTATCATAAAGTTTAGCATTCTCTCAGCAATGGGGTTGAAATACAAGCAATTTTATGGAAAAATATGACATATGGGAACCCTGCCCACAACTAATGATGTTATGCATGAGAGTTTGTATCAGTATTGCTGATGAAGGTAGTGATGTTATTCTGAGCAATTTATCCCTTGTTTAATATCTTTTCTTTTGCTTTTTCTTTTGTCAGAGGCAGCTCTAATTCTGCTTTTGTTCTGAAGTGTCACATTTGTACCGCAGTAAAATTTGCGATTGTCATGACAATCAGCACATTGTTTTTGTGCATGAAAATGAACATGATTTGAAAATGATTTATTATTTATTATTACTGTTTTTTTTCTTTTGGTAAATATATTAATGCCACCACTCTTTGATAAGTCTGTGAGGGGCCCTTGGCACCAGGTTAATGACATGACAAAGCTGATAAATAAAACTCTTCTTGTCACCCAAGATTGGAGTGTTTTGAGATTGGATTGAGAAATGCCTATGAACTAATATTAATGATTACTCTAACAGATATCCTGATCAGAACTCATGGTAGAGTGTCGTATAGTGTGGTGTCTCTGATCCACATTGCAACAATAGGTGTGCTCGACTTGAAGCAGCACTGTGCAGAACGATCAATGTATGACATCAAAATATCTTGAGAGCAATTCAAACACACCTACTGTTAATGGTGGTGATGCACTAATGCAGGGCTATTCAATTTCATTCTGACCCGGTTCAGGGTCATCATGATTACTTGATGATTACAGGCAGGTGTGTTTGATTATGGTTAACTAAACTCTGCAGGTTCTGCAGGAACAGAATTGGATAGCTCTGCACTAAAGTAGCCTATCTAAAGCAATATTTAACAAAAGTTAAATATAAAGTTTTTTACTTAACATGTATTCCCACTTTTTTATGCAAACACCTCAATCTGTAGAACTCAATCTGAATGAAATTTCCGATATTAAGTGTCCCCAACTAAGCAAGCCAGAGGCGACAGCGGCAAGGAACCAAAACTCCATCGGTGACAGAATGGAGAAAAAACCTTGGGAGAAACCAGGCTCAGTCGGGGGGCCAGGTCTCCTCTGGCCAGACGAAACCAGCAGTTCAATTCCAGGCTGCAGCAAAGTCACATTGTGCAGAGGACTCAACTGGCTCCTGTGGTCTTGTCCCGGTGGCCGTCTAGGAGACAAGGTCCTCACTGGGGATCTGTCTCTGGGGCTCATCTAGTTGTCCTGATCTCCGCTGACATTCAGGGCTGTAGAGGTCCTCTCTAGGTGCTGATCCACCATCTGGGCTGGATACGGACTGGATCCGGGTGACTGCAGTGACCATCTGATCTGTATACAGACTGGATCTGGTGGCTTCGGTGACCTTGGAATAAGAAATTAATAAACTAATATTAGTGTGGATGCCATTCTTCTAACGATGTAGCAAGTACATCGGGTGTTATGGGAAGTGTTCCCGGGTTCCGGTTGTCCTAATTAATGCAGCCTAACAATCCTTTAATGGATTTGAATATTAGAAATGTGTTAGTGTGTTATGTGTAAACCAGGTTAAAGAGATGGGTTTTTAATCTGGATTTAAACTGACAGAGTGTGTCTGCCTCCGGTTCAATATTATGTAGATTGTTCCAGAGTTTGGACGCTAAATAGGAAAAGGATCTGCCGCCCACAGTTGATTTTGATATTCTAGGTATTATCAAATTGCCAGAGTTTTGAGAACACAGCGGATGTGAAGGACTAGAATGCAATAAGAGCTCATTCAAATACTGAGGTGCTAAACCATCCAGGGCTTATAAGTAATAAGCAAGATTTTAAAATCTATACGATGTTTAATAGGGAGCCAGTGCAGTGTTGACAGAACCGGGCTAATTTGATCATACTTCCTGGTTCTAGTAAGAACTCTAGCTGCTGCATTTTGGACCTGGAAATTTGGAATGCTTAGCCAAAGAGATGTGTCTTCAATTTAGATTTAAACAGAGAGAGTGTGTCTGAACCCCAAACGTTATCAGGAAGGCTATTCCAGAGTTTGGGAGCCAAATATGAAAAAGCTCTACCTCCGTTAGTGGACTTATCCTAGGTATGCTATCCTAGGTACTACCAAAAGTCCAGAGTTTTGCGACCTTAGGGAGCATGATGGATTGTAGCGTGGTAGAAGACTAGTTAGGTACGCAGGAGCTAACCCATTAAGGGCCTTATAGGTAAGTAATAGTATTTTGTAACCGATACGGAGCTTAATTGGTAGCCAGTGCAGAGACTGTAAAATTGGGGTAATATGATCATATTTTCTTGACCTGGTAAGGATTCTAGCCGCTGCATTTTGGACTACCTGTAGCTTGTTTATTGAAGATGCAGGACAACCACCTGGCAGTGCATTACAATAGTCCAGGCTAGAGGTCAAGAATGCATGAACTAGCTTTTCTGCATCAGAAACAGGTAACATGTTTCGTAACTTGGCAATGTTTCTAAGATGGAAGAATGCTGTTTTTGTA